CATATATGCATACACACACACACACACACACACACACACACACAGCACACACACACACACACACACACACACACACACACATACACACACATATTACATACACACATATATATACATACACACACACCACATACACATACAGAGACAGCACACACACAGCACATATATATAGTATATATGATATATATATATATTATTATATATTATATATATCTATATATATTATATATATATATACTATATATAGTATATATATATATTACATATATAATATACATATACTATACAACACGCATATATATAATTACATCATTTGTGTATATAGTGTATAATATATTATAGTATATATATATATATATATATTATATATATATATATTATTATTTATTTATGGATATAGTATGTATAAAATTTTCCGCGTGTCGAACTGAAGAGTTACGAAGCAGTGTCATTCGACATAGGGTCTGGCGGTCTCTCTCTTCTTTTCTCTTTCTTTCTCTCTTCTCTCTCTTTTCTTTTTATCTCTCTCTCTCTCTCTCTCTCTCCCTCTCTCTCTCTCTTCTTTCTCTCTCTCTCTCTCTCTCTCTCTCTCTCTCTCTCTTCTCTCTCTCTCTCTCTTTCTCTCTCTCTCTCTCTCTTCTCTCTCTGGGGAGGAAGGACAGTATGCACAAGTTTCACCGTAAATCTTTATGCCAAATCGTTCTCTATTGGAGCGAGATGTGAAAAACACTAAAAAAAATGATAAAGAAATAAATAGATAAAGAGAGAGATGCAATGTCATTTTTAAAATAGTTGCTGAGAATAACATTTTTCGAGAATGAAAACACGAAGCAGCAAGTGTTAGCAAATTGACCTGATATTACCTACTAATTCTATATATTCGTAAGTACATGGGATACCTGATAAAAGGAAGAATAACTACAAAGGTAAGATGATAGAACATAAACGATAATTTATAGTCGCAGAAACGAATGGCGGGGATGATAGACTAGAATAAAATGCTCGCAGCCACGAAACATGAAAGAGATAATTGGTGATAGCGATGTATTAAAAGGAATGGTGATTGTTAGAATTGGTGTGATATTACACTCTTTCTCTCACTCTCACTCTTGCTCTTTCTCGCCTCTCGCCTTTGTGTGGTTTTCTTTCTCTTTTTTTCTGTTCTTTGTCTCGATATTGGTTATTGATTTCTTTTCTTTCTTTCGAGTTTTCTCTTCCCACTTCTCTGTTCTGTCTGTTTTGTCTCTGTCTCTCTCTCTCTCTCTCTCCTTCTCTCTCTCTCTCTCTCTCTCTCCCTCTCTCTCTCTCTCTCTCTCTCTCTCTCTCTCTCCCTCTCTCTCTCTTCCCTCCTATTTCCCCTTTTCCCCTTTCCTTGTTCCTTCCGCTATCCTTCTTTTTCTCTCCCAAATACTTTCCTCACTCCTCCTCCCCCTTCCCTTACATCCTGCCTAGACCTTCTTTCTTTCTCCTTTCCCTTTCCCTCCCCCCCATTTCTTTTCCTCTACCTCATCCCTTCCTTCCAGCACTCTTTTTCTCCCTCCTTTCTTCATCACTCATCTCCCTCCCTTTCCCTCTCCCTCTCCTATATTATTTTCCTTCTTCTTCCAGCTCTTCACCACCCCTCCCTCCCTCTTCCCCTTTTCCTCCCTCTCCCTCCTTCCTTCCTCCTTTCATCCTTTCCTGCCTCCCTTCCTAACCTCCTTCCTTCTCCATTCATCCTTTCCTCCTCCTTCCTACCCTCCTTCCCTGCTCTATTCCTCCCTATCTCCCTTTCCCTCGCCCTCTCCATCTTTCCTACCCTTTCCCTCTACCCTCCATCTCTCTTCTCCCTCCCTGCCCCTCCTTTCCTTCCTTCCTTCCTCCCTCCCTCCCCTCCCTCCCTCCCTCCCTCCTTTCCTCCACCTTCCTTTCTCCCTCCTCCCCCTTCCCCCTCTACCCTCCCTCCTTTCCCTCCCCTGCCCTTTCCTTCCTCCCCTCCCTCCTCCTCCCTCCCTCCTCCCTGCCACCCCTCTTCCCTTCCTTCTCCTCCCTCCCTGCCCCTCCTTCTCTCCATCCTCTTCCCTCCCTCCTCTACCTCTTCCATCCTTCCCTCCCTCCCCTCCTCCTTTCCTCCCTGCTCCTTCCTCCACCATTCCCTCTCCTCCCTCCCGCCCCCCTCCTTCCCTCTCCATTCCCTTTCTCCCTCCCTCCCCCTTTCCCTCTACCCTCTTCCATCCTTCCCTCCCTGCCCCTCCTTCCCTCCTCCTTCACTCCCTTCTTCCCTCTCTTTCCCTTCTTTGCATCTCTTCCCTCGTGTTTCACATTGCACTCACGCCCGTAAACACACCACACACACACACACACACACACACACACACACACACACACACACACACCACACACACACACACACACACACGTACAACACAACACACACGCATACATCATGTCGAAAATTTAATTCTTGTTTTTGCAAACTGTTGTTACAAACTCAAACCAGCGAATCGATTCACGAGTCATT